GTTTGGATAAAGTTTTCATCATGTCTTCTGACTGCTAGTTGGTGTTCATGGATGCGCTCTGCTAGCCTTCTGCCTGCCTGTCCTACATAGTGGCTGTTATAGTCCTTACTCTGTATGTTGTAGCTGACCCCTGTTTTTTCTTCTTGGGCTATGGGGTCTTCTAGCTTACTTAAGATGTTTTGGAGGGCTTTGTGTGCTATGGTGATGCTGTGGGTTGCAATAGTTTGCTGGTTGTTTCTGAGATGTTTTTAATGTATGGTCCGTTGCGCCTGGAGGTTGAGCTGCAATGACCTTGAGTTACGAAGGATTGAATCCTAGAACAAATTTCTTCTAAATAAATGCAGTTTGATGCTGGAATCAATACTCTGAGAAGTGATAGAGCTTCTGTTTGAAAGGATTCTAGGCAGAGACTGAACCATTATCTACTGGAAATGCTTTAGGTCTGGATCTCGCACACGGAGTAAAGGCTGGCTGACAGGACCTCAAGTGTTCCTCCAACTGCTTCATTCCTTTTCTTCGGTCCTTTTTAATGTGCTATTTCTACCTCTCCATTTCCCCAAGTTGTTTAAGGAAGCTTATCTCATACTCTCCTGAAAAAACCAAACAACCCTTCCTTCTAACAACTTTCAACTGAGTATGTGCCAGAACCCCTCCTCAAAAGGAAGGACAGGGTGAGAAAGCTTCTTGATTAAATCTTGCAGCCATACGAGGGAGTGGAAAAAAATGTATTAGACCCAAGCCACACTTGTGCACACACACGTATCCCTCAAATAAGCAAGTTATTTTCAAGGAGATGAGTTAAGTGCAAAACGTAAACACAGATCTATTAATGGCACAGTGAGACAATTTTTAATCATAGGCCTCAAGTATCTTCCCTCTGCCCGCTGTGTTAAAAACCTTCATTTCTTATGTGTGTAGAAGCCTTCGCTCTTAAGGAGAGACTAAAACTTGTGGGTAATTTTTAACTCAAGGAAGAGTGTGAAAAAGCATGATGTAAGTGTAAGCAGAAAGCTCTGAAGTGAGAAGAGATAATAATAATAATATTTTTAAAAAGTGAGAGAGAAGAGAAACATTGTGTGTTTAAATGCTTAAAGCAGGGCACACAACCTTGGTTAGAGGCTTATACTTGGCTAGGGGCTACACCCCCATAAGGAGGTAGGCTGAGGACAAAAAAACTCAACTTGAATTAGTTTGAGTTCCCAAAAATTAATAAGACATTTCCTTGTGTGTTTAACAAATCACTCCCTTTTGCATAATGAAAACAGACTAGCAGCTTTAGAAAGGAGATGCTGAGAGCCAGATTATGCTCTTCATTTTGAAGCAAATGTACACAACTCTTCAAAGCTTCTTCTATTACAGCACATGGGTCTGTCTTCTCCAAACAAATTAAAAGAATGGGTTAAAAGTAAAGTCATATTCAAGTCCACCTGGACTCCCGAGGACTTCATGAATATGGAACCGGGTTGCCACTGTCATCTTCAGAAATGTCTTTCTTTTTTTACATTCCAGTCTAGCCTACTCTCCTGAGATTTCCTGGCTCTTGTCTCCCATCCAAATACAAACCAGGTCTGACCCTGCTTCCCTTTTTGAGATTAGTGAAAGTCAACTAGGTGGTTCTACTTACCGGGGGGCGGGGGAGTTCAAATTCTATGATTTGTTCATTGTTAAAAAAAATTTTTTCAAAGCTTGCAAAAACAAAGAAATAAAAGTGCGTGGTCTTAGCAAAAAGGCACCATCCTACGTGGTGGTGGAATGACCGAGCTGAAAGAGTCGAGGAAAGAGAGACAAGAGTTGTAGTAAGTGAAACATCCAGAGTATTGGATTGACTTATGCATACTCACCTCGCAACCTTTGATGCAGTGGGTCAATGCAGGGTGCGGATACCACTTAAGTTCACCCGTGCAGACAACGTTCTAGAGAACGGAATGGAAAAATGGACATGCTGAGACGTCAGAAGCATCAGTGCTAAGCAAGTTAGCAACTTCGTTTGACTGCCTTCTAATCTCCAGATGTTCCTTCCCTAGAAATGAGATGTTGCCTCCCCATATGTTTGGCGTTTGTCAGGACCTGGAATCCCTCCAAGTATTTACAAGAACTGCTGGACACCCAACAGTTACAATAACAGAAAGCTTGAGATTAAAATAATATTTAAGGTTCCTTCCAAGCATCATGTTTGATATTTCATTTGCGACAGGGAGAGGAGCCTCTGCTGTGGAAAATGGGGGCAGGTAGAACAGGGGGAAAATTTGGGTCATGAAACCGAGATTTTCCCCTTCCCAGTATTAGCACAAAGAAGAGCTTTCTTACAGTGGTCATCTACATACAGAAATATCCATCAAACTATTCCCTTTAAGGGTAAGTGACACGCCACGCTCAGAAAAAGCATAAGAAATATTAAGCTAAAGAAATTGAAGACCTGAGATAGGGACAGGAAATGTAGCTAAAACTACTTTACATCAATACCATTCACTATACTTTTCAATCCTTCCGTGTTTTCATCTTTAGAAAACATTCAAGTTACACAGGTTCATCTACTTGGTCTAGTCTTTCACTATATGCCCATAACTTAACCATCATTGATTCCATTTTCTCTGTCAAACACAATTAACTTGGCCTTTGATACATTAATTTACATAAAGCACCCAAGGACATCGCACGTCTTCCTCTTACTTCCTCTCAATGTTGACATATTCATTAAGGATTCTATAAGCAAACCATCTTCATTTTTTAAACATTTCTCCCCTTTTGTAGTTTTATCATGTTTTCAACTTTCCCTTAGCATTTAGGAGTTATTCTTAATCAGTTTTATAGTGGTCATCTTACCTTCCTAAATTCATTAGGTTTTGTTCCTAATGCTATACCAGAAATAGGCCTCTCTGAAAAAATCTCTTTTCTCCCCTTTATGTTATTCTTAAATTGCTTTAGAACATCTTTCAAATTCCTGTTGGTGATGTTTTTGAGCTAACTTAATTCCTGGTGGTGACAAATTAGAATCCAGATGACGATGAGGATGATGGATTTTATTATGCAACTTTTCCCATGGCTCTGCAAGCCGGCTTCCTATGTTTCCCAATGTGAAGAAGTCCTAGGGGAGAAGATCCCTTAAGGACTTGAAGATGATTCCTCAAAGTCCTGACCAGGAATGGAATGGAAGCATGGGAAGAAGTTCTGGACAATGATTGTACCATGAAAGGAAGGATGTTCACACACCCCTCCTAAACTTCCTTGTAATTAAGTAAAAGAAAATCACATATCCCATGAACGTTTTCAGTAACCTTCTTTGGAACGCACGTGTGTGTGTGTATGTGATATTATGAATATTCTTTCATCAAATGGAATTAGGACTGGCAGAAAAAAAGTCAATTTTTTTTTCTGCAGGGTACCTTTCCCAAATTATCACAGAGATGCCTTTGGGTGTTTCCCATTGCTATAGCTATCCCTTCCTTCTTTGGTTTTGATCAGTCTGCTTCCCAAAGGGTGCAGGGAACTTTTTTATTAAGCTGCTTAATTACACCTCACAAGAGTGCCATTTATTATTATTTTTTCATGAGGAAAAACTCACCTGCTTTTCAATGAAAAATGCAGAGAATTTTACAAGGGGGGAGAGCAAGGGAGGATCAGGAGCTGTAATTTACCTTTCCCCCAACTCATTTGAGGTATAACTTTGTAGGGAAATCTTGGTGTGTTTTTAGTTTTGGTCATCTGAGGCTTACCTGGTATGGGACAGGGAAAAAGGGGACTTTTCTTGTCGTTCGTGTAGGGCTGTTTATCTTTCCACCGCACAAGGATTTTCCACCTTTACTCAGGGCCCAAATTGTTCCACCTGTCTTCAAACAGGCCTGGTCTGTGTGAAGGGAGCCTGGGCAAAGCTGGACAGCAGTGGGCAAGAGGTGAAGGGCATAATTTTGACAGCCCCCGTGGTGGGGTCAGGGATATTCCCATCGGAAACGGAAAGGCTGATTCTCAGAGCCAGCAGGAAGGCGTTCATTTATTTATTTATTTGCTTATTTCACAGCTTGACTTCCTTCGCCTTAAGATGCTGTTTTTAAGAGTATTTTATTTTTAAATCTTTGGAAATAAACAGGAGGAGGTTGTAATTATGGGCAACCAGGTGATCAGTGATGCTAGCGTTTGGCAACCAGGGTGTAAATCAGCTAAGCGTGTAGGTTAACTTCCCCCCATGTGGTCAAGAACTAAGAAACTGCCAGAATTGATCTTCCCATTGGAAAGCTGTGTCTCCCAGTGAAGCAGCTGCCATTTCCTCATGGATCTGTACGACTGCCTTCACATTTACAACTATGATACCTTCCTGAATATTGCCTCTGTGGTATCTTGGCTTCAAACATAGACCTTTCTTAAAAGGCCAGAGTGATTACTGCTTTTCCTTCTTTATGACTCATCTTGAATACACGGTGCTTTGGGTGCGTTGCTTTACGGCAAAGGGAATATTCAGGACGGTTGTACAGTTGAATTGTTTGGGGGATATACTCTCTAGATGGGGGGCAGGACAGGGTGCAAGAACAGAAGCAGGGAAGGTATCAAGGCCAACACATTTTTTTTTCTATGACCATCAGTTTCTCCAGATATGTTGGACAATAACTTCCATTAGTTCCATCCAGCATGGATAATGGTCAGGAATTCTGGTAGCTGCGGTCCCAAGTACTCTGCAAGTTTATGATAAGCTTTCGACTTGTCTGTGATATATTTTATCAGGAAAATAAATAAAAATCATTTTTAGCCGTACAAACCCCTCCATCTTTGGTGCCTTCTCTGAGACATCCTCTTCCTTCTCCCTCATTGCCCTTGTTGCCCTAATCCAAATGCCTTGGCTAAGTTGACATCCCTTGAACACCCATCTGTGAGCGATGTTGGCACAACAGATGCCAGTTAGCAGAATCATGTGGTTTGCCATGGCAAATGGAGCAAAGTCACTGGCTGGACAAACAAGGTCAAGAACGAGGGCAACTGAGGTCCAAAAACACCAGGAGCCAAAGGGACACTGCCATCCTGTGTCCCCATCCTGTAATTTTGTCTGGCAGTATCTAACATGCTTTTTTAAAAATTGAGTTATCAGATTCATCATCACATGGCCTAACTTTTATGTATTTTCAGCAAACTTGTTGTTATAAAAGCTATTCTTTTTGTATTCCAGATCAGATCACCCTCTCCCTGGTTCCCCCCTCCCCCAAATCCTGTCGGCTTTCCCTTTCTTTTTTGCTTTTTTTTTTTTTTATTACCAGTTATTTTTTTCCTCCCAGCTATCTAATGAGACCTCCAGGGATACACAGGTATAAAACCCGTAATGGTTCCCTCTAAGAGAAGGCATCAATAAAGGATCATGGCAGGCGGGTGGGGAGGGA